TGCAATGCAACACAAATACAACATAGTTTTGCACAAATACAACATAGTCTTGAACAAACAAATAATGAATCTATGCGGATCTTTCGCCATCCATTTCCAATGCTCTTCCATCAAATCTTTCTGGAGTTGGTCATGCACATCGCTGTCTCTAATCTCGATGTACACCTTCATGAAACGTCTGATGCGCTGTTCTTTTCGCATGGGGTTAACAGGAATGCCCATCAAGTGATAGAAGTTGTAATCTAAATGTTTTCCATGCTCGTTCTCAATGATCATGTTATGCATGATCACGCAAGCGGTCATGATGTACCAAAGGATCTTTTGATCCCAAAATCTAGATGGTCCTCGCACAATAGAAAATTGGGATTGCAAAATCCCAAATGCCCTCTCAACATCTTTTCTAGCCGCCGCTTGTGCATTATGAAAGACAAGTTCTTTCTTACCTTCAGGTTTTGCAATCGGCTTGATGAATGTACTCCACCTCAGGTAGATCCCATCTGCAAGATAATACCCATAGTTGTAGGTGCGGCCATTTTCTTCGAAGGTCACCGGTGGTGCTTCTCCATTTGCTAAGTTGGCAAAGAGAGGTGACCGGTCGAGCACGTTGATGTCGTTGCAAGAACCGGGCATACCAAAATATGCATGCCAAATCCATGTTTCATAATCAGCAACTGCCTCAAGAATGATAGTGGCATCCTTCACACAACCCTTGAATTGTCCATGCCATGCTTTTGGACAATTCTTCCATTTCCAATGCATGCAATCCACAGACCCGAGCATACCTGGAAACCCTCGAGCTTTGTTCATCTCCAAAAGCCTCTGAGTGTCCTGAGCATTGGGTGCTCTCAAATACTGTGGACTGAACACTTCTACCATAGTTATTGCAAATTGCTTGACATAGAAGATAGAAGTGATCTCTGCCATCGCCAAGTTGTCATCAATGTAGTCTGCCGGAACACCATATGCCATAATGCGCAAAGCGGCAGTGACCTTCTGTTCAATGCTATGGCCAAGCAACCCGGCACAGTTCCTTCTCTGCTCAAAGACTGGGTTATGCTGCTTCACTTCATTGCAAATGCGGAAGAACAAGTCTTTCGACATTCTGAAACAGCGTCGAAAGTAATTCTCCGGAAAAACAGGTGATGATGCAAAGTAGTTGCGCACCAACCGTTTGTGCGCATCAATCCGTTCTCTCCGAATGAACGTACGACCATAAACGGAACCACCGTGCTTCGGTTTCTTCCTCTTGTGCATGGCCACTAGCATAGCAATCTCCTCTTCTTCATGCAAATCAAATTCCTCGTCCGACGATGAATCATCCACAAAAGAGGAGTAAACAGAGCTCATCTACAATGCACACAACCATCGTCAAACATACTATCCAAACCCAAGTTAAATCATCAAGTTTTGTCATTTTTTTTATCTTGAGGAATTCCATGAAACACCTTGTGCGCACGGTGGAAGAAGATGGCCGCCGGTTGGATTGGCTGCTGCTGACAGCTGTGGTCGGCTCCGGACGGCGGCGGTGATAAGAAATGAGGTTGGAGGCCGGCCAAGAGGAGCTCGGTGGGCGGCGAAGACTAATTCGGCAGCCGGGCGGAGGGCGGCGGGGAGGCGGTCGTGCGGCCGGCGCAACGGCCGTGGACAGGCTCACGGCCGACGGGAGGAGGTCGGCGGCAGCCTAAAAGACTCGGCGGAGGCCTACCGTGGCAGCCGGACCGCCGGAGGGGCCGAATCCAGCGCCGGCTACCCCTCGATTCGGCGGCGGCAGGGAGGCGACGGGGGCGGAGGGCGGCGGCGGCGGAGGGCGGCAGGGGAGATGTGGGGTGGTGGCGGCACCGACGGCAAGGTTTTGGGCGGTTGCGACGGCGGATTCCGGCCGGCTGTGTCGCGGGCGGGCGGACGGGCGCGGGCGGGAACGAAAATGAAGTGGCGGTTGGGTGTTCACGGGCGGTGGCTAGTTTTGGACCAGATGCATCTCGTGATGTATATTTGCATCGCGAGGTGTTGCATTTTACATCACCAGAAAGCCGCGATCCAATTTTTTTTGCATATGAACCGTCTGTTGGAGTAGCGTTTTTTGCTTCAGACGGTTCAAAAGTTAGTTATTTTTACATTTGGATCATCTATCGGAGATGCTTATCTCTATTGTACTGCATCTTCCCTCTACTTCAAAAAAAATCTCGACGCAGCTCACAAGTAACAGCCCCCGGAACCAATAGGGCCCCGTCGTGCCTCTGTACTAGGTCTGGCCCAAAGTGACGGTTGACTCCACGATCTCCGTCGAGGCCTAGCGCATGATCTCCGCCTGTGACCGCAAGGTTGATTCCACGATCTTCTGACTCCTGTGCGCATCGTCATCGTCGTCTCCTGAATTTCCATCGTGGTTGTTGCTGCACGGGTCAGGTATCACGTCGTCGCGCCCGAAATATGTGGGTACGAGCGTACGCTGACTCCACACATCCAAAGCACCCTCCGGCAGGCCGGAACAGTACACCATGTTGCCCCTGTCTACGGCAATCTTGTCACGTTGGTCAATTACCTCGGCGATAACAAATATCTATCCTGGCTAACACTGGGGTGATGATAGCTTGGAGCCCATGGCCTATTCCGGGTGAAAAGTGTCGGGTCGCCCTTCAGCGAGCTCGCTTTTAATCTCGAAGCTGGGTATGGGAACGGATACTACATCGGTCTGCCACATACAGGTATACCATGTAGAATTCTTTTTTTTCTTTTGAAGGACCAGCGAAGGCTGGTGTTCTTAATACAAGCAAAAGTTTCGTAGACTTTTGCTTTCTCCCTCTTTGTCGAATAAATTATTTTGATGGATTCTTGCAATATGAAATTACTTCCAATTTTTAAGGGAAGTCCTTAACAAAATGTGAAAACATAGCCCAAAATGCTAGTATATGGTTAACTCTTAGGCAAAAATTGGTGGTTACTTTTGTTGGATTGATTAGGACTGCCGTAAAGTAAGAAAAAAAAGGCCAATGCCAATGTTGCAACGAATGGAGCGGTGGATCAAATGCAGGGTAGTCCCAAACAATTTGTATAGAAAATTCTCCAATTCCTACTGCATATTTTATCTACAGAAAGTTTATGTTGAGAAAAGCTTTAAAAAGTTGGAATTGTATTACTTTCATATTTATATTTAGAGGCCTCAGGTTCTTGTTTCGCCCCGGGTCACCGAAATCTCAGGACCAACGCTGGGCACCACTTATCAGAAAAGCCCCTAACACGAAGAATGTTAAGCAGTGAAGGCCAACAAATGGAGTCAAATGATTTCCTGAAGTCAAGCTTGATGATCATGGTGGGTGATTTAATTCCATGGCAGCAGTTTAGGAGATCAATGGTGTAAAGGAAATTTTGGGAGACGCAACTAACGAAAATGAAGCCAACTTGATCAACAATAACTAGTAGCAGAACCGGTGATTAAAAAAAATACTATATGCTCCTGATACAACTTTCTCAAGCATACTACCTTCCCGAGACAGGATCTCTTTGCATAGGAAATTGATTCCACTAATTATCAAGAACATTCTAAGAGCTACTCCCTTTGTTCTTAAATATAAGTCTTTCTAAAGGTTCCACCAAGTGACTATATATGGAGCAAAATAAGTAAATCTACACTCTAAAATATATCTACATACATCCGTATATTGCATTCCATTTGAAATGTCTAAAAAAACCTTATATTTAGGAACAAAGGGAGTACTTGAGAATGTCTTTGCATCTTCTCCCCCACCTATATCCTTTTTATTTAATTATAGTGGGGCTGCCACATGAGCACACACTCATGGATAAAAGTACGAGCTAGTGCCTAATTTTTAATAGTTTATCATGATTTTGATAAGATATCTGAACTTTCGAATTGATCCACTCTGCATACTGGTTATGTACTCTGACAAAGTAGTCTGCGTCTATTCTTTCTTATTTGAAATCCTAAAATCCCTGCATCCAAATTTTGATCCTCAATTCATTTAACTTTTGGTCATCGATGAATCAAAACTATGTAGATCTAACATATATAAATGCATATTAAAAAATAGTTTGTTGTTTTTATTCTAACATTTACTAGTGCCCGTAGTTATTTATCCAGCACCCATCCGAAATGTTTCCTACAAAGGAAGCATACAATGGTAAGTATATACGCACTGGTTTGTACTTGTATGATACGGTCATGCTAGTTGCTAGGTAGTACAGTGAACTAATGACATGTAACAAGTTGGTTTCTCCACAATACTTAGAAATTATTATTTTTTTGTCACTGAAAAAAATAGCACGCTATAGCATGCTGATAATGAGCTCCGTAAATAAGTCTATATACAATGGCTTGCTAATAGCACGCTATAGCGTGATATAGCACGCTAATAGCGTATTTTGAGGCCGACGCTATTTTGTTGTAGCAGGCTACTTTTTTCCTTGTTTTGAACAAACAATGACAAAGCAAGAGGCCTAGCAGTGCTTCCGGTGATGACAATTTCTACCAGTTAGAGAAGCCGCGTTGTAATCACCAGATGTTGCCCTTCTTCGATCTTACACATCAATGCATCAAAAGTTCAAAATACAAGGCTTTTGCATTCTCAAGCAAAAAAGTGATAAATAAGTTTCAATAATAATAAGTATAAACAGTTTACATAGGACCACTTATTCTTGCAACTTGCCAGACAATTAACCCAAACAAAGGAACCCACATTTAGGACAAAGAAAGGATTTGTCTAGTGCATATCTAGATGTGCCATAATTATTGCACATCTAGTGACACAATCAAGTATGAAAAGAAAAAAGAAAAAGCAAAAAAAAATCATATGAATCTCCACATAAGATCAATGACATAAAACTTAAATGTGCGATATTTATGGCACATCTAAATCTGCTTTAGCAAAATAGACAAAGAAGTGCCCAAATCTCAAACCATAACCGAAAGTAAACAAACGAGAAAACTGAAAAGAAACGGTCTGCGAAGTATATCACATTTAAGCCCTCAAAACACTTGCACGCTAGTGCATGACATAGACGTCATATTCGACGGTGGCGTCGCCAGTCTCGAAGTCGAGCCAGTGGGTCCGGGCCTGCGCATACCCATGGGCGAAGTGGAAGGCACCGGTGCCGCCAACAACGGGCATCTCGCCCAGCTCACGAGGTTCATGGTCTGCAGGAAGCCTAGCTCCGCCTGGTCCGCCCCCATGTACAGGCCCTGGGCGCGGCCCACGGCCGCCGAGCCGGGCTCCGGGCCATCGGTCAGCGGGTCGTCCATCACGTTCACCATCCCCAAAAAAAGGTCCGCGACGACGGGTCCGGACCCGCACCGCCGACGGGGATGCGCCGCTTACAGTGTCGTGGAAGTAGAAGTAAAGGTGTGTTGGTTTTTTAAGGGAAAATACCTTTTTATTACTCAAAGTCCACAAGATGTGGGATACAATTTTGATCATGTGGCTGGCCTAATCACACATGACGCCCTGGCAGTAAAGACAATACATGTTTAGCTAGCTTATGAGCTTCAACATTTGCATCACGCCTTTCAAAAGTAAATTTACAAGTAGTGGGTGATCTTGATCTAATTTCTCTGATGATGACTCCATATATTCCCTGACTCCTTTTAGCAATGTCCTCTATCACCTGTTTGCAATCGGAGGCCACAATGTAATGTTGTTGGTTGAGATCTTCCGCTAATGCAACAGCCTCACGACATGCAATGGCTTCCAAGGTCGCAGGATCACTAACCCCCGCTATCACTATGGCTGAGTGTGACACCCCGAGATCGATGTGTCAGGTGTCATCCAGTTATTCGCTGTTGTTGCCTCGTCTTTTGCTTGCGTGTCATGCATTTTATCTTCGCATCATGTGCATTGCATCATGTCATAAATCTTTTGCATCTCAACTAAATAATTTGTGTGGATCTTCGATCCATTTAAATCGAGGGAAGAGTGACTTCTCTTTATAACTTTATCCTCCTAATATTTAGGGAGTTATTATAAATATTTCATTAATTTGGAATCATCGTAACGCACGTGCAAAATAATTCTCATGTCTATTTCTCTTCGATTTTGACCTTCAAACCTTGCCAATATCTCTCATCTCTTTTCTCGAGGCTCCTCCTAAAACCTCAACATTTTTAGACACCTCTAATTCCTAGCCCTTGTTCAAATCATTTGAATTAAATTCAAATGATTTTGAATTAAATCCTTGCGATCATGCCTCTCCTATTTTTTTTGGAACCAGCGCATTTTTGCAAGTCCGCGAATATTATTTGCGTGCGCTAATTCTTTCCCTATCCCTCTCTTTCTTTTCATCTCTCCAATTCTTTTCTGTTAAAGGAAATATGAGAGAGAGAGAGAGAAGAGAGATAGCACAGGCCGGCCCAACCTCCAGCGCAGGCCCATTTGCCCCTCCAAGGCCCAGCCATCCCACCTACACCTAACCCTAGCCCACACCCTCTGGACGATCCTCTCTCCCCCTTCGTTCCCTGCTTGCGCCGCCATGAGAGGATCGCTCGCACCCGACTCCCTCTTTCTCTCCATTCGCTCGATCTCCCCACCTCTCGCTCCCGTGTCTGAACCACCTGCGCCTCCCTCTCTCTCGCTCACGCCGAGCCCCTCCACTCCTTCTTCCAGCAAGGCCCCGCACCACTCGTCCCAATTTTGGCCGGAGCTCGCCGGAGCCACAACACCGGCCGTCACCGGACCTCCTCCTCGGCTCCATCCTGCCGGCTCCCCCCGCCTCCGCCTCACCCTCGATACCCTACTGCCTACAGTGAACGTCGCCGGCCTCTCCTTCTTCCTCCCGTGCGCCTCCCTCTCCTGCAAGGACGCCCCTCGCCTTGCCGCAGCCGAGCTGCGCTACGGCGCCGACCGGTGCTGGCCTCGACCTCCTCACCTGCTGTCAAGCTCCTGGAGCTGCTGCTGCTCCCTGCATCGCCACGCCCTCAAGTGCATCGTCTCCGGCAGCCGGTCCAGGAGCTCCTCGCCGCCACCTCGTCACCCTGCTTGGTCCGGCCACCGCGTCGCCATGCTCCAGCACTGCTTCGAGCTCGTCTTCCTCGACTTCCCTGTCGCAAGCCTCCATGTGGCTTCGTCGTTCTCCCGAGGTCCTTGTGCTACTTCTTTTCAACCATCAAGACCGGCAAGGTCAACTACAGCGAAACCACGTACCACGACACACGGATGCCCAAACGAGTACCACGACAGACCGCCCAATACCCCTTCGAATCCTTCAAGACCGTCAAGTGAACGACTACCATCGCTCCAAGATCCGAACGGCTACGACGACATGAACATCTACGGAACGCTTACAACTACATGATGAACCGCCAAGGCCGGCCACAACCCTTGTACCACTACTATCGCCAAGTTCCACGATGACCCAAGTACCGCGAGAACGTTTGTACCTCTACCGTCGCCGTGGATCTGACAAGTACCCCTACAACAAGTGTACCTCTACCGTCGTCTTCGGAATCGCTAAGAACGTAAGCACCCCTTCGAGATGACGAGACCGACAAGTTCAAATGACCCCAAGTACCTCTCCAAAAACGAGACGTATACCGCTACCATCGCAAGAATCGAGACCGACAAGTCCGAAGAAGCAAGTACCACTCCGAACCATGTACGACGACCGTCGCCGAAGACCCGTGTAACGCAAACGTCAAGTTCAACTACCGTTGCGTGAACCGCTACTTCCCACGACGACCCCGTGAACAACTACTTCCCCTTCGACACATGTACCCCTACCGCCGAACTCGATCAGTTCCGATAATGCACGCTTCGAAGGTATAACCCCGAGACGACCGCCCGTGAACGAATGCATGTCTGATGTATGAGATGCTCGTGCTTGCTCCGTGCTCGAATTGTCGATGCATGTCGCCCCTCTTTTTGCCTTGCCACCGACATGTGGGAACTCGGTATCCGAGATCACCCCACCATCCTTGCATGTCACGTTCCGCACACTTCCTGTAACACCCCGGATGTAACTTTCCCTATTTGTACTCCAACTCTTGTCGTTTCCGGCGTTAAGTTATATTTATTTCCTCTGGTTTGGGTTTTGTCTCCGTGTGTTGTTGTCGTTGTCATGCATCTCATATCATGTCATCATGTGCATTGCATTTGCATACGTGTTCGTCTCATGCATTTGGGCATTTTCCCCGTTGTCCGTTTTGCATTCCGGCGCTCCGTTCTCCTCCGGTGGTCATTTCTAGATTTCTTTCGTGTGTGGGGATTAAACATTTTCGGATTGGACCGAGACTTGCCAAGCGGCCTTGGTTTACTACCGGTAGACCGCCTGTCAAGTTTCGTACCATTTGGACTTCGTTTGATATTCCAACGGTTAACCGAGGGACCGAAAAGGCCTCGTGTGTGTTGCAGCCCAACACCCTTCCAATTTGGCCCAAAACCCACGAAACTCTGCTCCATCATCTAGAGCATTCAATCACGATCGCGTGGCCGAAAATCGCACCTCATTTGGACTCTCCTAGCTCTCTCTATGCCTATATATACACCCCCATTCCAAATTCGCAGATCCTCTCCCCCCTAACCCTAAAAATCCCAGATCCGCCGCTCCGGACGTGTCCGGGCGGAGCCGGACAACGTCCACCGCCCCCGCCATCCAACCCGGTGCCCTCACGTGGCGCTGCGGGTCCCTAGATCGCCGTCGGCCCGTGGCCCGCAGCCGGCCCGCGCGGC